GGCCAGGTTTCTGATCCATATAGTAATATGGAGCGTACCGCAGCATTGTAAACTCGACCCTTGACAGAGAAGCTGATGTCACGCCAAGGCCTATGGAGTGAGTGCTCACTTGTGATTGGTCAGATTGTTTTGGAACTCCACTACCAAGACAATCACGATCGTTCTCACCGGTGGCAATATACCAGTAGTAAACAACCTTGAGGAAAGAGAAGAAGTGGGAACTTAGTGCACAAAACCCTGTTTCTGGGGAAAAGAGTCCAATGTAAGGAGTCAACATCTTCCAACAAATAAGCACATCTGAAGCTAGACGCCATCAGCAGAATTGAGCTCACATTTTGCTGGACCTAAACCCAGCGCAAAATGGCACGTACCCTTTGGTTGGCTACCACAACATACCTGTCACTGGGGTCGGAATGGAAAGTGGCACGTCGGTAATTGGACGGGCGCGGTACATGTCCGAAGCACCACAATCGCATGAATTTTATTTGTTGCTCCACGGATTGTGATTAGTCACATGGGGTCCACTAATGCATCACTTTGTTGCGAACACTCCCACTACACTATAAAGATTATCAGATTTTCGAAAACGGCCAAGATCATAAAATCAATTTCACAAGTTGAGATAAATTTTTCTGTGATGGTTCACTTGTACACACCGTTCTTTGGTTTCTCGAATGCAAGTTTGTAAGTAATACGCGCACTGAATTGCTCTGCCACTGTACAATCGTCTGGTGCGCAGTTGCAAAGATACATGAAACCAGTCAGTATATTCATGTCTTGATCATTGATATGCTCTTCTTTCCAGTCTTGTCGGTTCATGTGAATTGATGGCCACACCCTCCGTTCAACACATCCAGGCGAGTAATTGGGGAGTCGTATCTCGGACTGTGCTTGTTTGCTCTGAGACTACTCATCCTATAGCTTTTGTCTCCCACCGACCTCATTTGTGTGCCTGATGAGTATGCGGTCGCTGGCTGTGCGGCTTTCGAATCTCCTCTATCCTCGCCCGCCACCATACCGGTTATCCTTGTATCCAACGATGCTTTCTTTGTTCGCTCCCCCCTCTTTCTCATTGTTTGTCCGTATCTTGGTGCACTACTGCGATATTTTTCTCTGCTTCACTTATTTTTCATGCATTGTAGTAACTTTTATTGGACATCAAAATATACTCGTATTACGTGACGACCATCTGAGTGCTGTTTTCTTTCTAAACATGCCGCTTGAGTTCTACCCATCCGTTCTGCCCAACTTTTTGTTGCCAATTGGGCTTGTTGCCCAGTCTGGGATGTGATGTAGCACTGTGTACATTCGATTGGTTGATTACTTATCGGAACACTTCTTGATTGTATTAGGGCTGCGGAAAAGCTTGTCGCCTTATTCACATCATTACAGTCTAAGTGTTTTCGAAAACTGGATTAATTGCTTTTAAAAGAGCTTGATTTCCAGTTTGTTCGACGAGCATTTATCTGCCTCGATTACTTCGTTGTCAGCTGGTCTCGGAGTTGGGTTGGCTAGCATATCTTGGAAGGTTCCAACGAATATTCCAAAGTGAGCGTGAATTACCAATCGGTTCTCGATTGTTCACTCATATTTCAAATTAGACGGAGGTCATCAGCATCTCTTAAGGGGGGTTGCACGAGGGCTGGGATACTGCCAGGTTGCCCAAGCCTAGACAGGGGAATCTACCTAGCACGGACTATCTGTTCGATATGGCGATTGACAACCCGATAGTAACGTAAGTAACGTTCAGCTGTAACACCTTTTCGGTGCCTAGCTCCTGTGTCATCCGAAGGAAGCACGAGAGCTGGGATACTGCCAGGTTGCCCAAGCCTAGACAGGGGAAGTCGAGTGGCAGAGGTCGGGTTCGAACTACGGACCATCCGGTCAGTAAATTCACGCTCTAACCAATTGAGCCATCTCGCTCTTTGACAACCCGATACAGGAAATCTAGGCTTGTCCTCTGGAAATACTACTCTGTCATGACGTTGACTTCCCAGTGCACTGTGGTGAACGTCACCGATCATGAAACTGAAGAGGAGTGGGACTCAGAAGTCAAAGGAGGTGAAAACGGACTGTAAGCCCTTGCTTCACCTAAGCCTGGATTTTATAATGTTTTGTTAGTTTAAAAAGAACCACTGACCGCATCTCTTATTAGCATTTCTATGCAACAGACAATCGAAGGCTGCTCTGACGTCTAAGGTGTGTAGCATTCGAGGAGAGGACGAAGAGTTGGCCTACACAACCGTGGCCGGTGCCGAAACCAACCGTTATGCCCATCCTCGAAGGACTGTCTACAAAGAATGACAAGCTGTCAACCTAAATGTAACTGAAATCAGGTTTATCGCACGATACTTGCTGTAGATACGGGCAGGCTTTTGAACGTTCTAAAGCGATTCCTATTTCGGAAGCGCGTCCTGGCTGCTAAGCCACCAGTTCCTTGTTCCCTCAAATTCATGCTTCAAGAAGCTGCCAATCCCCTTATGTTGACCATCAGGCGTCTGAGGGTTGAATAGAATGCACATAGACCCGTTGACGCTTATTCCTCTGACTTCAATCACAACTCTCCATTCTGATAGCATACACTGCACCTCCCATGTGTGTCCAGCATTATTTAACTGTACACTGTGATGAGCGTTGGTTACGACGGAGGGTTGTTTCGTGAGCCCGATTGAGTTGGAGCCGTCGGAACACAGCAACCACCTTGCACCAAACAATGCTTGTTCCGAGTCAGCACAAGCGGTCCTGTGCGAGCGGCACTCCTGTACACTGCCGTCGTCTATAGTTATTTGCGATATGATAAATGTGGCACGAATTAGTGTCGTACATCCGAATAAGCACAATCGGTCCTCTGCGAACGGTACTCCTGTACGCTGCCCTCATCTACAGTTGTTTGTGATACGATAAATGTGGCACGAATTAGTGTCGTACAGGAATGATGCCAGGTAGCTGAGTGATACTGAAAATCTTTAGAGGCGCGTTCAGATCTTTTCCGATCAGCTGTGACACCCCTTCGGTGCCTAGCTGCCATGCTACCCGAAGGAAGCATGCGTTCTGAGCTACTTCCAGGTTGCCCAGTCCTAGTTGATAGCTATCGAAGTGCCGTGATTGGGTTCGAACCACGAACTTTCCGGTCAGGATGTTCGCGCCTGAAGCACTCAGCTGTTTGAAGTTCAGATTCTCATCTGGAACCACACTAGGCGCTCTCCACAAAAGTTTGTGTAGTCTTAGGTCGAATTCCCTTTAGGCTTTTGCTGGACCCCTGGAATGCGGATACCACAAATATCGTCCGTAGGTCACGTGCCCGTAGTAGGGCACACTTTTTCCTGTTACACATTTCCAACACTTAAGTGATGACGTTTGTTTGATCGATTACAGTGCAAGAACAAACCGAGGGTGTCCCCCCGAAAGCTCCGCTAGAATGTAATGATAGTATCTTTTTCACCGAGTAGATGTGCGCCCATCAAGTTGTGTTATGTGCTTGTGTTGTCGTACCAAGCTTTCAGCACGTGGGTCTGTAACTGTTAGGCGAAACGTGTTTCCCCGTCCCTACCTGTGACTGGCTTACTTTGGCCATTGTGCGTGTGGCGGCGTGCGTGTCGCCTGGATATTCAATGACACGGGTAACATATTTGTTCCGTGTGTATTTGCGGCATTTTGCTAGATTGTATTCACATTGTTCTCGTTTGAAACTAAGTTATGGCACGCGTCCCCATTTCGGATGTTGATACATACGATCATGGAAACTAACATCAGACGGGCGTCTTGCGAGCATCTGCGGTATACTTTATTTGTTATAGCATGAGGAGGATCACTAGGTTGGAAACAGGCGAGGAGCCATAAAGAAGTGCACAATGTCGTGAAGCACTTTTTTCACGTTTGATAAAGGGTATTCTGTCCAAGCGGGCGAGATGGTCCAAGTGGTTAGAGCGCGAATTTATTGACCGGAAGGTCCGTGGTTTGAACCGGACCTCTGCCTCTCGAATTCCCCTGTCTAGGTATGGGCAACCTGGGAGTATCCTAGCCCTTGTGCTTCCTTCGGATAGCACGGCACCAGAAGGGTGTTACAGCTGAACCATTTTTTATTCTGTCCAAGCATTCCGATTTCTGTAATTCTCATCCTCGTTTCACTCAGCGGTCCTACCGAACAATCGGTCCACCTCATAGTGGATCCATCCCACAGGTTGCTTGAGCCTTTCCCATATTGAATCGTCAGTTGAGGAGGCTTTTAGCTGTATAGCGTGGCGTGAATGACTTGTTTGGGGGATAGGGGCACTATATCTTGTTTGATCGCAATATGTATCAGCTGCTCGTGGTTGAATGATAAAGTGATTGGCTAGTAGCCTGGAGGTTCGTGATAGGTANGCTGAGTGATACTGACAATCTTTAGAGGCGCGTTCAGATCTTTTCCGATCAGCTGTGACACCCCTTCGGTGCCTAGCTGCCATGCTACCCGAAGGAAGCATGCGTTCTGAGCTACTTCCAGGTTGCCCAGTCCTAGTTGATAGCTATCGAAGTGCCGTGATTGGGTTCGAACCACGAACTTTCCGGTCAGGATGTTCGCGCCTGAAGCACTCAGCTGTTTGAAGTTCAGATTCTCATCTGGAACGACACTAGGCGCTCTCCACAAAAGTTTGTGTAGTCTTAGGTCGAATTCCCTTTAGGCTTTTGCTGGACCCCTGGAATGCGGATACCACAAATATCGTCCGTAGGTCACGTGCCCGTAGTAGGGCACACTTTTTCCTGTTACACATTTCCAACACTTAAGTGATGACGTTTGTTTGATCGATTACAGTGCAAGAACAAACCGAGGGTGTCCCCCCGAAAGCTCCGCTAGAATGTAATGATAGTATCTTTTTCACCGAGTAGATGTGCGGCCATCAAGTTGTGTTATGTGCTTGTGTTGTCGTACCAAGTTTTCAGCACGTGGGTCTGTAACTGTTAGGTGAAACGCGTTTCCCCCCTCTCTACCTGCGGCTGGCTTACTTTGGCCATTGTGCGTGTGGCGGCGTGCGTGTCGCCTGGATATTCAATGACACGGGTAACATATTTGTTCCGTGTGTATTTGCGGCATTTTGCTAGATTGTATTCACATTGTTCTCGTTTGAAACTAAGTTATGGCACGCGTCCCCATTTCGGATGTTGATACATACGATCATGGAAACTAACATCAGACGGGCGTCTTGCGAGCATCTGCGGTATACTTTATTTGTTATAGCATGAGGAGGATCACTAGGTTGGAAACAGGCGAGGAGCCATAAAGAAGTGCACAATGTCGTGAAGCACTTTTTTCACGTTTGATAAAGGGTATTCTGTCCAAGCGGGCGAGATGGTCCAAGTGGTTAGAGCGCGAATTTATTGACCGGAAGGTCCGTGGTTTGAACCGGACCTCTGCCTCTCGAATTCCCCTGTCTAGGTATGGGCAACCTGGGAGTATCCTAGCCCTTGTGCTTCCTTCGGATAGCATGGCACCAGAAGGATGTTACAGCTGAACCATTTTTTATTCTGTCCAAGCATTCCGATTTCTGTAATTCTCATCCTCGTTTCACTCAGCGGTCCTACCGAACAATCGGTCCACCTCATAGGGGATCCATCCCACAGGTTGCTTGAGCCTTTCCCATATTGAATCGTCAGTTGAGGAGGCTTTTAGCTGTATAGCGTGGCGTGAATGACTTGTTTGGGGGATAGGGGCACTATATCTTGTTTGATCGCAATATGTATCAGCTGCTCGTGGTTGAATGATAAAGTGATTGGCTAGTAGCCTGGAGGTTCGTGATAGGTACACTGTTGGTCATTCCCGATGAGGTTGAAACGGCCGTGCGGTTTTCATAAAGGAAACTACTCACAAGGTTGCTGAAAACTGTTCGACAGCCCACCCTTCTTGGGGCTCATCAGGTAGGCGCGGTCCCCGAGTTTCCGTCAACCTTATGTTCTACCTGAACCCAAATTGAACTGATTTCGACAAATACAATCATTGGCAAATCAATTCGGTTTTCATGGGGGACTCAAGTGAATCTCCCGTTTATGATGTTCTTCAACTGAATATGCTGCACCAAGGTTGAAACAACCGTGCAGTTCTCACCTTCACTTAACAGATGAAGTTTTGATTGAAGTACGAAACTGTGTTTCTTATTAGAATAAGATCGCATATTTTTCCTTCTGAGTTGCATGTCAGGTGTTGCTGAAAGTGTAAATCCCCATATCAACGAGTCTCAGACCGGCGATTTGGTCCACTCCGTGCCGTCTTCCGTGAATGTAATTCTCCGGGACATAGCACTCCCCTAATTTGTGATCTTAGACGTTACCATTTCGATTGACGATAACCGGAAGCTTTAGGTTATCAGGGTTGGTTAGCGCCAGTTCGACTTCAACGTGGTATCATCCAGCCCCATGCTGTCTAACCTGCGTGATTGCTAAATATCTTTACGAATTCCTACGTGGAATTTTCGCGATGTCTTTTTTTCGTGCACTGATCGAAGGTCATCTTAGAGTTGATTTCACCACAACAGCGGCAATCAGCTGATGTACTACTGCGTTGGAACGAACACCGTTGTAGTGGGTATGTTACTAAGTCCTTGTGAGTACAATCGAAGTAGCATAGATCGAAGGCACTGAGGAAAACTGCTCCAGTTAGAAGCACGTGACAGTAAGGGGTCCTTGATATGTTGATACCTGCTAGATGTAATGGTGCTCTTGGGAAGCACCAGTAACTAGCTGGACCTCGTCAAAAACAATAGTGCATTGTTTTAGTCCTCGTTGAAGTTCAGACAGGTCTTAAGAAGTCTAGTGGCCCATCGAGTTGAACCAAGTGGTAAGAGCGCGAATTTACTGACCGGAATCGAATCCGACCTCTGCCCCCCGACTTCCCCTGTCTAGGCTGGGCAACCTGGCACTATCCCAGTATCATGCTTCCTTCTGGTGACATGGCAGTTAGGCACCGAAAGGGTGCTACAGCTGAAAGTAAAAAAAGTGACCTACCGCAATCAATCACTGCGACGAAACGTTGGCAGCAGGGAACTGAGGAAACAACCATCAACTGTCCGGCGAGGACAGGTATATTTCTGCCGGAGTTATGGAATGAAGAAGCGGTTATTGACTGGACTGGACAGCTTGACGAAATTTACTGTGAACCAATCTCGCCCCTGTAAGCACACCGATCGATTCCTATTGGTCGATTTTGAAAAAAAAAACCAATGTTTCTCCCTGTGCCGTTACGATTTTCGTTCTCAGTAATACCCACCTGTCCTGCAAACCCTATACGATTTTCGGTCGCAGTAATACCCACCTGTCCTGCAAACCCTAACTACGTGTTAGACAAGTTTCCACTCCATTTCCGTTACAACGAACCGGTTTAGCAGTTCGCTGAAACACAGCTGTGCGGTGTTGTACCGCACCGACTGTACGGTTATATTTATAGTGGAAAGATGACCGCCTTTGATAGAATTCGTTATGTGCTGCGATGTTACGCTGATGGGTTTCGATTGCTTTTTTCTCACACCTACACATCTAGGGCCAGTTGTTTTTTTTTCAATGTTCGTTTTTTTCAGCAGGTAGCATGCAAATGCGAACCACCTGCCAGCTTCGCTTCGGCCAAATATCGATTATTTCCCTCGTGGTCGCCGAAAAAATCTGCGATCTCAGTGGATCGATGGTCGTATGACGAGATTAGAATGAAGTAGATACGTAGTGAACACATTACAGAATCCAGTCTTTCTTCAACCATGCAAAGAGGAAGCATCTTTTGGGGTTTGCAAACTGATTCCTTACTGGGACTCCCACCCTCTCATGACAACTACCATTTGTGCGGACCGTCGCTGGCGGGTACTACGTTCGATTAACGAAACTTAATCATTTGCGTTTTTTTTGTAGCTTGTGTTAGAATTAGGAAAAAGTGCTTCATTTCGAGTGGAGCTAAGACAAAGGGAACCTTTTCAGATCGATCACATCCTTGATTTGCAACAAGAACTCGGCGGTAGCTAGAACGGCTGAGCAGGCCCACAGCATTGCGATGCCTTAGGGGTACCACAAATTTTCTTCTAAGCGTCTTTAAGCACATGTGAGTGTTGACATAAATAGCTGGAAAAAGTGATGTTCCGTCCAATCGACAATTTCCCGTATTGGATCCCCTACGGGAATGGAGCGTATACAGAAGATACAGAACTTTATCGAACGCTTCGCTGAGGTCTACGCTGTCAAAATTAAGTATACCGTTAATTGTTGACTTTTGTTTATTTCTCGCAGGCGAGACGGCAGTTGTTGACACATGATCGATGCTTGCAGAAGCCTTGTTGTACCGCGGAAATGGAGCTCGATTCCTCAAACGACAGGAGCACTTGTTTGATGGGGTATTACGTAACTCGTTTATAGTTTTAGCAGGACGGAAGCCTACAGGAATATGTTGGTATCTTCTCCGGTTCGACACTGGTAATCTTCTAGTCGCTGGAAGGGGGAAAGTGATCAAGTGGACGGCGGAAAATCCGATTAATCAAGTAGGTGGTGACATCAGGTGACGGGTACGAAACCCTGTCGTCATGCCTGTCCGTAGGCATGAGCGAATGTCGTCGGTAGGATCCTCGAACGTTCATCTGCTGAAAAAAATCGTTCAGCTGTAACACCCTTTCGGTGCCTAACTGCCATCCCAGCAGAAGCAAGCACGAGGGTTGGGGTACTGCCAGGTTGCCAAAGCCCAGACAGGAGAAGTCGAGAGGCAGAGGTCGGGTTCGAACCACGGACCTTGTGGTCAGTAAATTCGCGCTCTAACCATATCATCTGTTGTCCCAAATACAATTCTGTGGGGCAGGGGTGGAGGGTTTAAACCGAAACCAGAATACTTTTGAACGTGGGTACGTCATACCACGGATTCCCCAGATTAGCAGTCAATGAATACTGCAGATACTCGCTACTCATCACGGTAGTCCTCGCTGACCACCATCCTTGGGCAGATTATGTTCTAGACGTTCATGAAGCTGGCTCTTCTTCACAGAGGAGAATGTCAAAGGGACGGGGAGGGAATAATCACTCAGTAGACGAACTTCCTCTTAAATCCTCACTCTTCGGGGAAATCCTCGAGGCTAACGGTGAACGCTGGTGTGGGATCTAACACAATGAGCTTCCACATCGACCGTTAACGTTTAGCGGGCCTAATTGATGTGACAGCCAGTCCTGTGTATGGTGTTAACTAATACATACAATACACTAGGGAATAGATAATGAACTGATTACGCTCAGTTTTGCAAAAAGCGGCCAATATAGTTCTCCGTTTGCTTATCTGATTCCTGGAATCCGATACACAAGCTGGCTCTTTGGATACGTGGTTTGTCACAACAAGGCTTGTGTGCGACGAGCAACAGAGTACTATAGTATACGTGTGTGTGTGTGAATGCAAGTGTACGAGGGTGCGCATGTATTCTTGTATACACCAACCATAAAAAGTGGAAAATGTTTAAAACCGATTGACAAGTCATCGTCTCAGGGGACGGGGGGTTGTAACGAGTCCGAACGTCTCTGAAACATCCATAAGAACCATGTATAGTAACCGGGGAAATGGTTAGACTACCGAAAATCCCGTTATGGAACAAGTGATTGAGAATACCACAAACTCGTTACTTGCTACTTATCGGAATTCAAATCAAAACCATGAAGTAGGATGACCGTACGAGAAAGACGTATTTTGCCTTATTAATGAAAAAAAAACAGTTGGCCGAAACGTGGCGGCTCCAGTGACCCTATTACAGTGAACCCACTATAGAGAGATTGAAGCAGAGGCCGAAGATCAACGTCGTTAATGTTTCACTTGTAATGAGCGTTTTTTCTTGTGTACCATCGCATAACCGTCACTTCCGTGTGTTACTTCGCTCCAGCCAGTCTGTCTCAATAAGCAGAAGTGAAAAAGTTGGAAAATTATTGTAGAAACGCTAACCAGACCATTAACCCCCGAAAATTCACCCACTACACTACTCATAAGGTTGCTGAAAACTCTTCAACAGCCCACCACCGGTTTCGCCCTTCTTGGGGCTCGTCACTCTCAAACTTTCCATCGATTCTATGTTTTCTTATTCGATTTGCTTCAGTTGACGGCGATCGATGCACCTGTGAGTACTTTCCAAAGGTGCGTCAGGCTTATCAGACGTCATATGGTGTCATTACAGGTGAAAGTTAGTTACCTACGTGCCGTTGACGATGACATCACAGAGATTGCACACACTCACATCTGTTCTAGTGGAGTTTAGCCGTATTTTTATGAGTCACTGATTATGAAAATTCGTCATGGCCAAAATCCACGTTCGTCGAATAAGACTTCACTGTGGAAGTTTCGTGGAAAGTGTGCAGAGTTCTGGCTAGTGACACCTGGTATCCACATACAATGTGTCATCTCTACTCTTCTGCACCACACTTTTCCACGTTTGGTTCACTTTTCTCCAAAGGTTCGCAAGTATGATACAGTTAGTCAAGCTGTTTCGTCCTTGTGCATTTTTCGTATCTGAATAACTCATGATTCGATGCGTGGTATGACGATTCATGAAAGGAAACCATCATGAGGGGGGCGGGTATATCTGTCCATGGGGTAATCCCTTTTCAGAAGATTCTCTTCAGAGTGAGAGAAGTAACTGGTTGTTTTATGTATTTAGGCCATCGTGCAAGATTTTGTATTTCGATGACTGTTTTTCACCCGTATCATGGAGTTTTAAAAGATTCCATCATCATGCTTTTGGCCAGCGCTTCCAGTGTCCTCGCTGCCAGCTCCGCGGTTACATGTGTCATTCGTCACCAGTTGGGTGTACACTCCTCGCCCACCTGCGGGGAGGACCGAGTCACCCGAATAAAGTCAGTTGCTAACGTACCCGTCACTACCATTTGACTGCAGCGTCTGCCCATTCGGTTTTTTCAAACGCGGTAGGTTGGGTGGAAGTACATGTGTGTTCTACCTGCTGTGTTGATGCAAGCTATCTCG